ATAAAAAAAAAAAAAAAAAAAAAAAAAAAAAAAAAAACGGGGGGGGGGGGGGGGGGGGGGGTATTATCTCACAATTCTGAGAAAAATTAAGAGAATTGTGAGGGAAAAAAAAGTTGTAAGATAAAAAGTCAGAATTACCTTTTTTTTTTTATGGCGGAAATGGGCTTCCATACAATACAGAGGTATAATGGGAATAAAAGTTAGTACTGAATATAAATAACATTCTTGTGAACAATAAAGCGCATTTAAATTAGAAAAATTTATTTTTTTTTGAAATGGCTGAAATAAGCTTTCACATTAACAATACATATATAAAAAAAGCAGAAAAGCAGGATGAAAAAAAAAACTCATTGGATTGATATACATTAAAATGGTTAAGACTGGAACCGTGGGGCAGGAGCGCACAAGCCGTCCAAATCCATACGTTTTGGATTTTCATATCACATATGAAAAGCATAAGATTGTCATCATACTCCACACCACAACTAATTTGCTGTCATCGTCCAATAGCAAGGATGCAAACCTCTTAAACATGCGGCTGACGTCCATCGAGAGCCTCGGTCCTGTTCTTCTAGCTGCCTCTGATTCTGAAATGGTCAGACACTAAAGGTACGGGTGAGTGTCACATTCACAATGGACATCAAGGCATCAGGAAGTCAAGCACACTAAACCGCTGCAGCCAGAGGAACTTCCTGTTCGCCCACTGCTTCTGACAAGTTGCTTGGAATATTAAAGAACTAAAAAAGACTAACTGGTTACTGGTGTAACACAAATCTCATCGCTTGTTAGTGTACTGCAGTTTTTATGCATAACAATTACTACTTGCTTAGCCACAAACCAACAAATAAATTGACGTTTTTTTGTTTTTAATAGTGCATCATCTTCCCATAAAGCTTGTCGTTTTTTTTTTTTCTCGAAAGCCTGCTAATTAGCTCCGCTCATGTGTTTTCAGGTTTTCAAGACCCCTCAAGTCAATAAAGTGTTATGTAATTTAAGTAAATTGAGTCAGCCTGCATTAAAGTAATACATCACACACTCATTTAGCTTTAAGGCTAGAGACCCTGCTAAAGAAGACTTCTTTACACCGATATTAACATTGTTTTCAGGTGATCCAAACATAAATGCAAAACCCTTGTTTTAGTAAGATACGGTAAGATTTTTTACATTTTATTTGAGGAAATCAGTACTTTTATTCACGAAGGATGCATTAAATTGATCAAAAGTGACAGTAAAGACATTTAAAATTTTACAAAAGTTTGCACTCTGAGTGAAGAAATACAGCTGCGCATCACAGAAATACATTACAGCTTAACAGATATTTACGTAGAAAATTTGATTTGAAATTGTAATAATATTTCACAATTTTTGATCAAATAAATGCAGCCTTGGTGAGCAGAAGAGACTTCTTTCAGAAACCTTACTGACCTCAAAGTGATTGAATCACAAAACCTTTCTGGCAGCTTTTCTCAGCTGTGTTTAGTGTTGTCTATTTGAGATTGGATCACCCAAGACTGATGTTAAAACCAGGTAGAAATGTGTCCGTTATAAAAGAAGGGGCAAGTGAGGTGCCCCGAGAACTCATCAAACAAATCTGACATGAATAAATAAAATAAAAAGCTCTCAAGTTTTCATACGCAAGTCCACACAGACCAATACAGAACATTACTGATTTGACACTCCACTGCAGGAATCTATCAGACTGAGCTGGGCCTTCATCTAATCTGACACACAAACACCAGGAACCATCGCAGATGAGGAGTAGCTGGCAAACATATAGAACGTACCGGTACATATGCAAAGGAGGAGAGTAAATGATCGCAGACACTATAAAACGCAACATCTTTCACGGATTCGTTTGGCCAGACTTTTTCTCTTCTTCTTTCCGTTCTTTTCCTTGCTGTCCTCCATCTTCCTAGCGCGAATTTCCCTCATGAGGTCAAAGAAAACCTGCAATCAAGACAGTACAGCATCTTGGAAAATATCACTTTAATTCAATTCTAAATCGCTTGTATTATCAATGAAAAAAGAATGAATTTGAAGTCAACATTAAACGCTCTTTACAAACCATTTACATCCATAACATCAAATTTCCAAGTGAAACAGGATCTTGAACGAGAGTAAGACGGATTTGTGACGTCACCCAACATGGAAGTTAAATACTGTGCACTGATGAATCGTGTACATTAGTGCCAATATTGTTTTCATGCTGCCTTGATTACACTTTAAGGAATAGTTTACCAAAAAAAGAGAATGTGCTCACTCTCAGTCCATCCCAGATCAGGATGAGTTTGTTTCTTCATCAGATCTGGAGAAATGTAGCATTGCATCAGTGTCTCAAGCAATGGATGCTCTGCAGTGAATGGGTGCCGTCAGAATGAGAGTCCAAACAGCTGATAAAAACATAACAATAATCCACAAGTAATCCACAGCACTCCAGTCCATCAGTTAACATCTGGAGAAGACAAAAGCTGAAACACATCCATCAAGAAATACGAGTTCATAATCCCTAATAACACTTCCTCCAGTGAAAAAGTGCATCTGCTGCTGTCTCTCACATCAAAATCCAGCCACATATTTGTTTAGAGCCGTTTAAACGCTGCTTGATCTGTGCAGATTTCTCTCCTGATTCACACCAGAACACTTTTTCACTGGAGGAAG